CGTTCAGTGGGAAAACGCACTGTAATAAAGTGCGCTTTAAAATATCTACTATGAACAACAGAGAAACATGGAAGATTTCACTCAGCAACTGAATTACGCCCAAACAGAGAGCGGAGCTGGGGAGGGAAGTGGCAGCTGCATAATAGATCATGTCAACAGAGCCGCAGATTCATGCCAGGATAATCCACTCTGGCTGTGGCACGGAAGCAAGAGGGTTTTCAAAGAAGGGGGAAAAGTGCCCAGCTCAGCCGGGGCAGCGTCGGACTGGAGCCTGCTGAGCTACGACAAGGACGCATGAAAAACAAAGAAATAGCAGTCCAGCGCCATGCAGCTAACACAAGCTGGATCTTTTGTCCACTTTTGAAGTGAGCCAAGAATGGCGACCTCAGCATACCGTTTTCCAAAGATTCTGAGAGAAGATCAAAGGGATCAAAAGAAAGGATCACTGACAGCCCACCTGACAGCTCCCCAGGTGGACAATTGATTTCAGACAGGTTGTTTGTTCCCAGAGTTGGGTATCCAACCTTGGCCAGCTCTTTTTAAGAGTTGTGGACTTCAATTCCCAGGACTCCCCAGACAGCCATGCTGGCTAGGGAATTCTGGGAGGAGAAGTACGCAAGTACACTGCAACCGTCATAAATATGAATCACCATGGGGCTGCTATGTGTGAAAACTGGTGATAAGTCACTTTTTTCAGCGCCGTTTTAACTTAGAATGGTCACTAAACAAATGGCCGTACGTCAAAGGCTCTGTGTAATGGCAACTGTTTGGCATGCCAAGATGTGAAATCAGGCCGATGTCAAAGGCTCGTGATTTTGGGAAGAAGAGTGTCCTTTCCAAAGAAGAGGGAGGGAGCCAACGTCAACCTACCTCCTCCGTTCCGTCTCTCGGATCTCTCGCTCGCGTTGCCTCTGGCGTTCTCGCTCGCGCTGCTCCTTGATTTTATCGAAAGACAGGATGTCTTGCTTCTCTTTGCTCTCCGACTTGCGGTCCTGGCTTTTGGTGCTCTGGAGCGGAGCAGAAGGAAGGTGGCAAGAATAACAGATGAACAGAGTTGGAAGGGACCTTGTGGGTCATCTAGTCCAACCCCCTGCCCAAACAAGCGACCCTACACCATTTCTGACAGATGGCAGTCCAGTCTCTTCTTCAAAGCTTCCAGTGATGAAGCTCCAACAATTTCTGAAGGCAGAAATGTTCCCAAAAGCCTCAAAAACGGGCCAGAAAAAGCCTCGAAAACGGGCTGGAAAAAGCTTCAAAAATAGGCCAAAAGAGCCTCGGAAATGGGTAGAAAAAAAACTGGAAAAGGCTGAAAAAAGCCCCCCCAAAAGGGCTGAAAATGTGGCATGCAGAGGCCAAAAACCTTTCTTTTATTGTTTTCCTCTTCTAAATTCAGGTGCGTCTTATATTCAGGTGCATCTTATAATCAGAAAAATACGGTATATGCCACCATCTAAAGGTGAATCTAGGCACATTACAATCAATAAAAACTGTACAACATTATAATAAAGTTTTATATCATAATATTATAAAACATTATAATAATGACTTTTTAAAACACCCAAGATGGCAAAGAAGGAAGATGCATGTGGGAGCAGCTTATCTTAATTACAACATTGTAAGCGACCTAGAGTCGCTTGGTAGAGACGGACAGGTGGCATACAAATTTAATAAGTAAATAAATATATTATCATTTCACCAGTTTTGATGGAAATCTACTTCCCTGCCTCAGCTTAAAAAGCAGAAGTATAACAAATAGTCCAACTTGGAAAGTTAATCTCTGGACCCAAATTTCATAAGTTAGGAAAGCTGAAATAATAGATGCAGTCTTGGTTCCACCACAAAACCGCGGTGGAATAAAGCGCACTCGACGAAAGCGTGTACGTGACGTCATCACAGCGCG